AGGTTTCAGTCAGCGACAGGGAGTTGACTACTTTCAGACCTTCTCTCCGACCCCGAAGATGACCACTCTTCGGGTTCTGCTGCACGTCGCAGCTCAGCGTGACTACGAGCTTCACTCCCTTGACTTCAGCACTGCTTTCCTACAGGGCAGCCTGCACGAGGAGATCTGGCTGCGCCGCCCACCTGGCTTCACTGGGTCGTTTCCTCCTGGTACCCAGTGGAGCCTCCGGCCGCCAGTCTACGGTCTCCGCCAGGCGCCCCGTGAGTGGCACGACACACTGAGGACTACGCTTGCGGCTCTTGGGTTTGCTCCTTCCACTGCTGACCCGTCGCTGTTTCTTCGCACTGACACTTTGCTGCCGCCGTTCTACATCCTCGTGTACGTCGACGACTTGGTCTTTGCTACGGCTGACACTGCTGGACTCGCCCACGTGAAGTCCGAGCTGCAGAAGAGACACACGTGCACAGACCTGGGTGAACTGCGCAGCTATCTTGGCTTGCAGATCACTCGGGACAGAGCACGGCGCACCATTACCCTGACTCAGTCACACATGGTGCAGCAGGTCCTTCAGCGCTTCGACTTCACGTACTCCTCGCCTCAGGCCACTCCTCTGTCTACTCGCCACTCGCTCTCAGCTCTGCCTTCGGATGAGTCCGTAGAGCCGAGTGGCCCGCACCCAGAGCTTGTTGGCTGCCTCATGTACCTGATGACTTGCACTCGACCTGACCTGGCATACCCTCTTAGCATCTTGGCACGCTATGTTGCTCCTGGGAGACACCGACCAGAGCACATGGCTGCAGCGAAGAGGGTGTTGCGCTACTTGTGCAGTACTTCGGGCATGGGGCTAGTGCTTGGAGGGCGGAGTCCAGTGGTCCTCACTGGTCACGCAGACGCGTCTTGGGTTGACGACCTGGCTACGCAGCGGTCGTCACGGGGTTACACCTTCAGCCTTGGTTCCGGCTCTGTTTCGTGGCGGTCTACTCGCTCGTCTTCTGTTCTCAGCTCCAGCTGTGAGGCTGAGATCTACGCAGGGGCCATGGCTGCACAGGAGTTACGCTGGCTCACCTACCTGCTGACTGACCTGGGAGAGCCGCCTCGTTCTCCTCCAGTTCTGTACGTAGACAACAAGGCCATGCTGGCCTTGTGTCGGGAGCACAGACTGGAGCACAGAACGAAGCACATTGCTCTTCGCTACTTCCTTGCTCGTGAGCTGCAGCAGCGTGGTCAGCTGCGTCTTGCTTACGTGGCCTCTCAGGCCAACAATGCTGATATCTTCACCAAGGCGCTTCAGCCTTGTGATCATCAGCGCTTCTGTACTATGCTAGGTCTTGTGCCTACTTTGCCTCACTTGCTTACCTCTTGACTTTACTTGTACTGTGATCTATATATACCTGCACTTGCTTGTTTACCTTATATATAAACTTGCATGTGAACTGGCCTTGTGGCCTTTGAACCTGTGCTCGGAATGTGTGGTGACTTTGTGATCCACCCTGAGCTTGCTTTGCTTTGCTTTGCTTGACTGGTCTTGTGACCCCTAGTTCTCCCCCACTTTGCCTATGGGGGTGTGTCAGATATCTATGACTTAGCCTGTGTAGGCTGTAGTGGGGTAGACACTAAGGGGTACAGGTTTTCATATTTGTACCTAACACTTTCCTAGTTCATTCATTCCTGTTTCTTCACACTGCTGGCGCTGGCACGAGCATGAGCGCAGCTATCACTTGTAGCAGCGGCATGCGCAGCAGGCGCGACCGGCGCGGCTGGCATTGGCTGGTGCGGCTGGCACGGGCGCTACAGGGGCGCGGGCACTACAGTCGTTAAGAAAGTTATTAGCTAGGCGGGTGGGTGGGTAGGCGGGGCGGAAGCGTACGACCTAAAGATAGCAATGATCCCATGTCAGAATGAGAATGATTAGTACTTCGATACGTACAAACGCATACCCTCTACAGCACAACCTACTATAATGTACAAGCATGCAAATGGGTTCACATGAGCGAAAACACGTATGTAATTGGAAATATGATGCATTTTGATTGAGATGTGCAAGTGGTAACGTGGAACGAGTGAACAGTGACAAAGCGTGCCATAAGAACATGGAACAATCTCATGTACTCCTAGTTGTTATGCATCTTATTGTCAGAGGTCCACTGGTGATCCCCGATTGATCCTAGGGAAGGGTTACAGGCTCGTTGTCCTGGGGGGTTATGGGCGCACTGACCCGCTACTTAAACAAGCCCTTTTATCCCAGTGGTCTAGTGACTGGGATTCTGACATGATATCAGAGTGAAGGTCTCGAGTTTGAATCTCAGTGTGTGCACTTCGGGCATCCCAGTGCGGGGGGGTGTCAGAGGTCCACTGGTGATCCCCAATTGATCCTAGGGAAGGGTTACAGGCTCGTTGTTCTGGGGGGTTATGGGCGCATGTCAGAATGTTATGTTTGTCTAGCCTGCAGTGGGGTACTCAATAGCGAGTACAGCCCAATTTAGGGTTTCCTATATGTACTCAACTGCCTGCTAGTAAAAAACCCCTCTTTTCTCATTTCTAACTTTCTTGGTTTCTTAACATGGAATCAGAGCAGGTCGACCCTCCTGGGTCGATCCTGTGCATGGGCCCACCATTGTCTTCCGCTGCTATACTGCCTATCGCGCGCCTCGGGCGCGCACTGTCGTTCTGTCTGTCGTTCTGTCTGCCCCGACCCTTCCCCCGCCTTTTCCCGTCGCCCGTCGCGGCGCCCGGGGGGGGGGGGGGGCGCTCGCTCGGGTGGGGGGGGGGGGGGGGGGGGGGGGGGGGGCGCGCGTCGCCGTCTTCGTCGCGGCCCTGCCCAGCTGTCGCCCCTGCTGCTGCCCTGCCCTGTGTTGGGGTTTGGGGGTGGCGAGTGTGGGGTTGACGGATGTGAGTGGTCTCCCCCACTCCTCCTCCTCCTCCATCTCCCACTGCTGCAGCTGTCGCTGAGGGGGGTGGGTGTGTGAGAGCCTATGGAATGGTGCTAAGGGGTGGAGTGGGAATGAAGATAGGGGTGCAGCAGGGGGTGTGTGAAAGGGGGGTGAGACAGTTAGAGGATGTTGGGCGGAGGCAGCTGTCGTGTCGCCTGCAGCGCCAGTAGTCCGGAGGCTACAATCTCCGGTAGCCAAGCGAGCCTGCTGCGCCAGTCGCCCGTGGGTCCGTTGCTCCTGCAGCTCAGAGTTAGTCGCGGAGCCAGTTACTCCAGTAGTCCGGAGGCTACAATCTCCGGTAGCCACAGTGCGCGCCGCTCCTGTTGCCCGTGTGTCTGCAGCTTCACCTGTCGTCTCCTGTCTCTTCTCCTCTCACAGTCCCTCCTCCTCCTCACATACCGTCTGTGTCTGCCTCTAGCTTTGCTTATATTTGTGAACTATAAACTGCTGTTGCTTGTACTTGTGCTCAGAATGTGTGGTGACATTGTGATCCACCCTGAGCTTGTTTTTGCTTTGCTTGCTTGTGCTGATTACACCCCACTTTGGCTATGGGGGTGTGTCAGAATGTTATGTTTGTCTAGCCTGCAGTGGGGTACTCAATAGCGAGTACAGCCCAATTTAGGGTTTCCTATATGTACTCAACTGCCTGCTAGAAAATAACCCCTCTTTTCTCATTTCTAACTTTCTTGGTTTCTTAACAGCGCACTGACCCGCTACTTAACAAGCCCTTTTATCCCAATGGTCTAGTGGTTGGGTTTCTGACACTTATAACGAGTGCAGATTCAACCTTATTCCGAGAATCCGCGCTCGTTGAATCCGGAGGGAATGACGGATCGCCCTGTTTTCGGGTTTCTAATTCCTTTCGGCAGTGGTTTTGACACCGCCTTGTTTTGCGCTCGCGTCCGATACCTTCGGTCAGATAATTACACTATTTCCCCTTTTGAGTCCAGAGACTAATATTTTGCTTTATTTACTGGGATATCCTAAATTATATCGTCGCGTCAATAACGAGCAGCTCGGGACAAAAAATATATTACCCTCACGGATGGCATGCCATTTGGGAGGCATCAACCCTAAACACCATTAGGCAAGGTGTTTAAGGTTGACCCTCCCAACTGGCCAGCCATGTGAGAGGGGTTTATTTTTTGCCAGGTATATTTCATAATGTCCCTGGTCACAGGAAATTGGGATTGTCGAAATAAACTGCCCCAAGGAATCGGAGGCGAGGGGAAAAGCGAGGCGGTGTCAAAACCACTGCCGAAAGGAATCGGAAACTCGTAAACAGGGCGATTCGTCATTTCCTCTTGAATCCGATCAAGGCCTACCGTCGTTTTTGCGATCAGCATCAATAAACGACCGAGTCGTGAGCTGTCAGCCCGTCAGCCGTCAGCTGTTAGCTCGTCAGCCCGTCAGCCGTCAGCCGTTAGCCCGTCAGCCGTCAGCCCGTCAGCCGCGCGCAATCCCGCATTCTCAATGGTACGTTCCTTCCTTAGTCCGTCGCAGCGTGTCCCACGCGCTTCGAACCGGCTCAAACACATGCGGCGTCCCGTCCTACGTGTCGCTCGCCTAGTCACGCGTCTTACCGTCACCCATGTTTCTTCTGATGCTCTAGGCCTCGCTTTTGAAGACTGCTCTTGTTGCCGCCTCCCACGCATCCCTTGATTCTCCGCCCTTTCCTCTCTCCCCTCCGCCGTTCCCCTTCGTCCCTCCGCCCCTTTCCCGCACCCCTATGCCCGTCCATCGTGCGTCACCATCGTTGACTCACCAATTAATCCCGTTGCTCGCGCGCCGCCGCTTACCCCGTTTCCGTTTTCCGTTTTCCGTTTTCTGTTTTCCGTTTTCCGTTTTCCGTTTTCTGTTTTCCGTTTTCCCGTTTTCCGCCTCCTCCCCTCACCGTACGCATCTTCCCCTCATCTCCGCCCTTCCCCTCACCCTCCGCCCTTCCCCTCACCCCCCATCAACAGGTGAGCGACCGCTTCAGCATCAACAGTCAGGTGCAGCACATGCAGCCCTGCCCACCGTCTCCTCCCCCGTGTTCCGCCCTTGCTCTCACCCCTCGCCCCTAATCAGGCGAGCGACCGGTTCAACATCAGCAGCCAGTTGGAGCACATGCAGGCGAGATACGTGGGCACGGGACATGCTGACACCACCAAGTAGTGAGTGCGCTGCAAACGAGTGCCAGCGTAACACGTGTGGTTATATCAAGGCAGGGCTTACAGTAGTAAGAGACATTAGCGGTTGTTTCTACATGAGCAGAGAGCAGAGAGCAGAGGGCGGAGAGCAGAGGGCGGAGAGTGGGGAGTGAGGAGCAGAGAGTGGGGAGTGGGGAGCGGAGAGCAGAGAGTGGGGAGTGAGGAGCGGAGAGCAGAGAGCAGGAGAGTAGGAGGTATGCTAGTGGAGCCATGCTCCCCACCTGCCACAGTACACCTCTGCTCTTCCATTTCCACCCTCCCTGCCCCCTTCTCTTCCCGTGGCATGCAGCGAGTGCCAGAGAGAATCCACAGGGACAGCAAACCCTGTGCCGTGGCGTTGCTTTTGAGAATTCGCAAAAGCAACTCCAACAAACATAGTGCGCAGAGAGAATCCACAGGGACAGCAAAACCTTTTCCGCCAGTTATGGGGACAGTAAACCTGTGCCGTAGCGTTGTGTGGCCGCCATTCACTGCCAACCAATCTGGCCTCTCACTCCGCCTATGGCCTCCGCCTCTCCCTCCCGCTCTCCATCCTCCGGTCCCTCCCCCACTCGATGCTCCAGCGAGTGGGCAGTGAGCAGCCACAGGACAGCTATGCCTCGTTCTTGGGCCACCACCCACTGCTAGCCTTCTATTCCTCCCACTCCACCTGTTCCTGTCTCCCGTTCTCTCCCTATCTCCGTTCCCCAATCTCTCCCCCTCTCCCCGCTCTCTCCAGTGAGTGGCAGGGGAACATCACAGGGACGGACAGCTATGCCTCGTACTGCTGCTGCTGAACATCACAGCTAGGGGCACCAAGTCACCTACTGCTCGCCTTCTTGTCCTCTGCCCCCGCCTGTGCCAGTCTCCCAATTTCTTCCCCTCTCCATCCCCCAATCTCTCCCCACTTCCCCCCCTGTCCCGAGCGAGTGGGCAGTGAAAAGCCACAGGGACAGCTATGCCTCGTACGTGGGGCACCAAGCCACCTCTCACTCCATCTATTTCCTTCTCCCCTCATTCCTCCCCCTCTCCGTTCTGCCAATTCCTCCCCTCTCACACCCCTGGCAGTGAACATCCATCGGGACAGCTATGCCTCCTCCGTGGGCCACCCGCTGCTGGCCTGCTTTGTCTCTCACTCCCTCCATGTCCTGTCCTCTCCCCCCCCCCCCCATATGCATGCAGTGAGTGGGCAGTGAACATCCATCGGGACAGCTATGCCTCCTACGTGGGCCACCACCCGCTGCTGGCCTTCTTTGCCTCTCACTGTGCCTATGTTCCCCCTCTCTCCCAACCCCTCCCCCCTCTCCCTCAACCCCTCCCCTCCTCTCCCCAGCGAGTGGGCCGTGAACATCCATCGGGACAGCTACGCCTCCTATGTGGGCCACCATCCGCTGCTGGCCTTCTTTGCTTTCCTCCCACCGATCGACCCTTCATCCTGCTCTCTCTCCCCCCTGTCCCCTCGTCAATGCAGCGAGTGGGCAGTGAACATCCATTGGGACAGCTATGCCTCGTACGTGGGGCATCATCAACTGCTGCTGGCCTTCTTCGCCTCTCAATCCCCCTATGCTCCCCGCTTTCGTTCCCCCTCTCACCTCTGTGCATGCAGCGAGTGGGCGGTGAACATCCACAGGGACAGCTACGCCTCCTACGTGGGACATCACCCGCTGCTGGCCTTCTTTGCTGTGGCGGAGAATGAGAGCATCGGCCGCGAGCGATACAACTTCATGCAGGTGATGAGAGGGATGATGTTTCTGGTGCTCTCACTTCACAGGTGCTGTGGTTGACATTGTAGAATTGGTCACTCGCTCGCGAGCACCTGCACCTTCACGCAGGTCAACAGGGAGGGATGCTATGGCATGTGCTGTAAGATGGTGCTGTTGGTGAGATTGTAGAACTGGTTTTGGCCACTACAGTCAACTTCATGCACGTGTTTCAAGGGATGCTGTGGCTGGCGCTGTGGGAGGTGCTGTAGCCGCTGTGGGAGGTGCTGTAGCCGGTGCTGTGTCATTAGGCGCCAGCGACACAGGTTCATGCAGGTTATCAGGGATGCGGGCTGGTGCTGTAGCATGGCGTGGTGCCATGCTGACAAGATGGTATGATGGTATGATGCCATGATGGTATGATGCCATGATGGTATGATGCCATGATGGTATGATGCCATGATGGTATGATGGCATGGCCCTCTCAAAGCCAACTTCCGCATCCCGTCTGAGATTATTTCGTTTCAGGCACTTGTGAAAATGTAGATTAGTCACATCCCATGGGTGCATACCCGATCAGTGGACACTCCCTTGGCTTGTATAGTTAGTGCTAAAGGCGGTCTTAATTCCTACGCCCAACTCTGTTTTCCTCTCATTGAGGTGTCTGTTCCGTATGTCCAACTTCCTTTTTCTCTCTCACTAAAGCCCTTTCCTTTCCCTGTGCCTGAGTCGACTCAGAAGGGTTAGTTTCTCTCTTTGTGTCTGTTCCGTATGTCCAACTCAGTTTCCTTTCTTACCAAATCCCTACCCTGTCCCGGGCACTCCACTCCACTCCACTCGTCCATTTGTCCACTCCTCTCATCTCCTCACTCTACACCATCACAGCGCATGCTGCTGCCATGTGGGCTGCCGCCAGACCGCGACGAGGAGTGAGGAGTGCCCTGCCCTGTGTTAGGGTTTGGGGGTGGCGGGTGGGGGGTGGCGGGTGTGTGGCATCACCTGCTCCTCCTCCTACTTCGTCTCCCACTGCTGCAGCTGTCGCTGAGGGGGGTGGGTGTGTGGGAGTGGACGGAGTGGTGCTAGGGGGTGGAGTGTGAGTGAACCTAGGGGTGCAGCAGGGGGTGTGTCATAGGGGGGTGGGACCGTTTGGGGAGGTTGAAGGGGGGTGGCCGCCGTGAAGCCAGCAGCTCCAGTCGCCCGTGAACCCGTTGCGCCAGTCGCCCGTGAGCCCGTTGCTCCAGTTGCCCGTGAGCCCGTTGCTCCAGTTGCCCGTGGGTCCGTTGCTCCTGCCGCTCAGAGTTAGCCGCGGAGCCAGTTACTCCAGTAGCCCGTGTGCCAGTTGCTCCAGTTGCCAGTGTGCCAGTTGCTCCAGTTGCCCGTGTGCCAGTTGCTCCAGTTGTGCCGTGTGCCAGCAGCTTCAGCTGCTGCCCACTACCTCCTCTCCTCTCATCGTCCCTCCTTCTACTCACTTGCCATCTATTATATCCTCTAGCTTTGCTTATATTTGTGAACTATAAACTACTACTTCTTGTACTTGTGCTCAGAATGTGTGGTGACATTGTGATCCACCCTAAGCTTGTTTTGCTTTGCTTGTTGTGCTGATTACACCCCACTTTGGCTATGGGGGTGTGTCAGAATGTTATATTGTCTAGCCTGCAGTGGGGTACTCAATAGTGAGTACAGCCCAACTTAGGGTTTGCTATATGTACTCAACTGCTTGCTAGTGCAATCCTCTCTTTCTCATTTCCAACTTCCGTTGGTTTCTTAACATTTCCAGACAACGTAAGCACTTGACTGAGTTCCCAGTCCAGATAAAGATTTTCTTCCTTTCCACAGACACCCATCACATCAGACCTGTATGTGGAATTGAACTCCGCCCATCGCTGCAACAAGAAATTCTCTTAGGACTAGGCTGGCTCGAACTACACTAAAGCCTGATAGACTTTATAAAAACTCATGCGGCGGTTGTCCACCTCTTAGCAGAGCTCGGAACGTGTATGCTTCAGAAAAGAGTATACTCACTCGCTGTCTGAGGACTCAGACAAGTTATAAGTTCTTGGTCTTATTTTTCATATGAACAAAATTGCCTTATCTCGAAAATTATATGAGCATAAATTACTAGTCTGAAAAATCATACGAACATAAAAAATCGTGTCCGAAAATCAGACCATCAGACGAAATTCGTCTGATATCCAGAGCCCTGTCGTTGACAGATGCGCGGGAGGAAACTGTCAGAGGTCCACTGGTGATCCCCGGTTGATCCTAGGGAAGGGTTACAGGCACGTTGGCCTGGGGGATTATGGGCGCACTCACCTCTACACAAACAAGCCCTTTTATCCCAGTGGTTAATGGCTGGGATTCTGACATGGTATCAGAGCGAAGGTCTCGGGTTCGAATCCCAGTGTGTGCGCTTCGGTCATCCCAGTGCGGGGGGGTGTCAGAAGTCCACTCGTGATCCCCAGTTGATCCCAGAGAAGGGTTACAAGCACGTTGGCCTGGGGGGTTATGGGCGCACTCACCCGCTACACAAACAAGCCATTTTATCCCAATGGTCTAGTGTTTGGGATTCTGACAGAAACAGCAACCGCATCAGACTCACGTCGCTGGTCAGGATATAAAAAAACGAACCAGCAACGAATCGGATCGTTTGTTTTTTCATCGCCTGAGTGCGCGCGATGGGAGAGCATTCTACAGCTGCTGCATGCGGTTGACGCCGTGCGCGACGACGAACTTGCCCTTGAAGATATTCGTGTCCACCACCACCTGTTGGTGCAACCCTACGGTTTGCACTCGGCTTGTTGTCCGTGTGCGTGAATGTGTGTGTGTATGGAATGGTATGAGGGCATGGGATAATATATATTTCATGCTTATAATTGTGTGTGAATGTTGAGTCATGATGTCGAGTGTGTCTGTCGAGTCAATAGCGAGTTATCGCTAGACGCGTGTTACGCGGTCGTTTGTGTCTCGCGCGCGGTTTCTATTTTGTCGTGCGCGGTTTCTATTTTGTCCTGTGTCGAACGTTCGGCGTGTCGCAGGTGTGTGCAGCAGACCCATCAAGAACTCAAGGATGAGTTTGTGATGAAGAGCCCGAGCCTTGGTGTCAAGCCTCAAGTGATTTCGAAGCTTGCCAAAAGGGTACACCTCAAGATATTGAAGATAGTTACATTACTTTGTGTAGTGTAACATTTCACTTGGTGTAGGCCCTAGTGAAGGGTAGTTTCGAGACCCTTCGTGGTTGGGGACAGTGTGGCACTGTTCCACATCACTGTACCTCGGCTCTTGGGGTTTGTAGGAGCTGGGAGTCATTCCCAACTCGTAACTCTTCCTATCTTGTGTTCTAAGACTATAGTGGCTGCCATAGTACCGTTCGTTCAAACCGACGCTGTGTCGTCAATTCTTTATCAAATCGTGCAATCTAAATTGCTAATTGTAGACGACGTGAAGACGCTCCAGATCCAATTTGAATCAAGTCATTTGCAGCTGTGAGCAGAACGCTATCAACGTTTGAAGCCGCTGTGCAGAAATCCGTCTGTGCTCTCTATCTTTCGTTTTAGGCACATTCAAGCCTATTGTGACTATAACAAGTGGTATCAGAGCCCCTTGGAGCAGTTTCGACAATGTCTGGACCTGAGGAAAGGGGTGGCAGAGGTGCTGGTGGCAGTGGAGAAGCTCAAGCTCAAGGCCAACCCCGTGATTCAGCCATGGCGCCCATGCAACCAAGTCTTGGCCCACCTAGGGATGAGCCTAGGGTGTTTGGGCTTGACAAGTTCAACGGTGACAACTTTGCTGAATGGTCCTTCAAGATGGAGAACATCTTTGACCACTATGACCTGCTGGAGGTGATGGAAGGAACGGAGAAGCGCCCCGAGAACGACCCGGAGAAGAGCTCGTGTGTGCGGAAGAGCGCACAAGGCTATCTCTTACTTGGGCAAGCGTTGGGGAGCAGTCAGATCCGTCACATCAAGCCATTCCAGTGTGAACCAGAGAAAGGACCAAAGGCATGGGCTGCTCTCAAGGGTGTACATGCTCCTGCAACAGCGGCGGTAGCAGTGGTGTTGGAACGGCAAATGGCGGCACTAAGAATTGAAGAAGACGAAGCGGTTGAAGAAGGGGTGCAGAAATTCTTCGACTTGTTGACGCGGCTTGAGGGAGCTGATTTGAACTACAGTGAGCTCCAAAAGAAGACCAAGTTGCTGGCCTTACTCCCAGAGTCATGGTCCTCGCTCATCATCAACCTTAATCGCGACTTGCCCCGCCTCTCGCTTGAAGACGTGAAGCGAGCTATCCTTCAAGAGGATTTCCGCCGCCGTGAGTTGGCGAGTGCGGATGGCGCTGGGGCAGCGAGCATCGGCCGTGGATATGGTCGAGGAAGAGGCAGAGGACGAGGGGGAGGAAGGTTTGGTGGCAGCAACTTCGGCGGAGGCCGCAGGAGTGGCGGTTACGGCAGCGACGACAAGAGCTACGGACGCGGTCGCGGCCGATTCGACGGCGAGTGTCACTATTGCCACAAGAGCGGACACATGTGGCGCGACTGCTATAAACTCCCTGATGGTTGGACCCCTGCTCAAGGCCAAGAGGGTAGAGGAGCAGGAGGAGGGAGAGGACGAGGCCGTGGAGGCCGTGGCGGTCGCGGTGGCGGAGCTGCAAACATGAAGAGCGGAGACAACGACAAGGACCCGAGCGACGATCGATACCCGGGTCTATTCTACTTCGTGTCGACGCAAGTACCGGCTGGTCCAGAGAAGGATGAAGGCTTTGAGGAGCCAGCAGCTGTGGGGAAGGTGACCCTACACCCCCTGGACTATTGGGTGATTGATAGTGGCGCTACCTATAGCATGACACCTCGCCCGGACTTGCTCACCGAACTCGAGCCGTCACCGGTGAAGCATGTCACATCGGCTTTGGGGCAGCGAGCAGAGGTGAAAGGCATGGGCAAGGCCATGTTCAAGGGTGCTGATGGGAAGATGGTGGGCCTCAAGAACGTGCTTTGGGTGCCCAGCCTTGCTGCAAACCTGATTTCCGTGCGGCGGTTGGCAAAGGCCGGCATGGACACGAACTCGAAGGGAGCCAAGACCTACACCGCAAGGCTTGGCGATCGAATTCTTTGGGACCTTCATGAGGACAGGGATGTCTACAACGAGATGTGGCAGATCCCAGTGGTCCCTATGCCTAAGGAGAGGCAAGTGGCAGCAAGCATCAGCACAAAGGATGGAGCGGTCGGTAGCGACGATGGCGCGAACGGTCGCGCTAAGGAGAATGAGCTCAAGAAGAGCAAACCTGGAGGGACCAGCAAGTTCAGTGAACCTAAGGAGAGTGGTGCAGCAACCAAGGAGCAGAAAAAGGGTGAGGAGAACCCCGAGGCAGCAGCGGAGGAGGACTACGGAGAGAGTATGTGGGGCGCTATTGCGAGCGCGGCATTCTCCAATCCAACTTCGGCTACGGGGGAGTGTGATTGGCTCACCTTGCATCGGCGCATGGGGCATGTGGCCCTGCCCATCTTGCAGCAGCTAGTGAAGAATGAGATGGTTGCTGGCATACGTGTGAAGGGGGAGCCCGATGAGGTGCTCGACTGCCCGACGTGCATTCAAGCCAAGTTCACCCGGTTTCCGTTCCCTAGTTCGGAGGCAACGGCAAAGGCACCGCTTGATGAGGTGGTGATGGACGTGGTGGGCCCCCTGAAGCTTGGAGCTGCTGGAGCTGAGTATTTTCTCACCATTGTCGACGTCTACACCCGCATGACTTGGGTGTATGTGCTGGCCAAGAAGAGCGACGTGGCTGAAACGTTGAAGACGGATTGGTTCCCGATGGTGGAGCGGCAACAAGACCGTCTAGTCAAGTCAATCCGCACCGATCGAGGGGGAGAGTTCCTGAGCAAGGAGTTTGGGTTGTGGCTGAAGAAGAATGGTATTCGGCACTCCCTCACCATGCCATACTCCCCTGCAATGAACGGCATCGCCGAGCGAGCGAACCGCACAATCACGGAGGCGGCACGCGGGTTGCTCATTGAAGCCGGGCTACCCGACTATTTCTGGCCTGATGCGGTGCGGAGCGCGTGTGTGGCCAAGAACAGAGCCTTGACTCATGTGGGAGCAGACAAATGGGTGCCCTATGTGGAGTGGCTAGGAAGGAAGCCAAAGGTGGATATGCTTCGGGTGTTCGGGTGCATGTGCATGGCGCTTGTGCCTAAGCATCTTCGGCACAACAAGCTTGGTGCCAAGGCGGTGTGGGCCGTGCACTTGGGCATGGCTCAAAACAGCAAGGGATGGCTTCTTTGGGACCCATTCACCAAGAAGTTCTTGGTGAGCAGGGACTGCAAGTTCATGGAGAACTTCATGTACAAGGATTGGAAGGCGGAGAATGAGGCGAAGATAGGCGTGCGGTTTGGGGAGGTGAAGAGTTCCGGTTTGGAGCATGTGGAGCTGCCTTTGGAACTGAGCAGCGGCAGCACAACCACAAGGCAATCCTCCCTTGTGAATGGGGGAGAGGAGGCCAATGATGCAGAGGAAGAAGAGGAGGAGGTGCAGCAAGTGAGCGAGCGTGCACCGTCACTTCCTTCCCGTACTACGAGTGCTCCACGGATTCGAGCCACACCGCAGCAACGCCAAGGCCTTCAAGTCCCTGCAGCTGAGGAGGAAGGAAGGGGGAAGAGGAGAGTTCAACCCCCTAATAGGCTGACCTATGATGCGCCGGGAAAGCAGGGCAAGACAGCCCTGGCCGGAGCGGCAATGATGGTCGGAGACGACGAGGAGAGTGACTACGAGGAGTGTGCCTTCGCGTTCTTCTCTCCGGTGGAGATGCCGGGAGAACCAGCAACTCTCAAGGAGGCTTTGGAGAGTAGTGATGCTGAGGAGTGGAAGAAGGCCATGGAGAGTGAGCTGAAGAGCATCGAGGAGAATGACACGTTTGAATTGGTGGAGCTACCGGAGGGGCGTACGGCGATAACGTCCAAGTGGCTCTTCAAAATCAAGTCGGATGCCGACGGCAAGATCGAGCGCTACAAGTCTAGGCTTGTAGCCAAGGGGTACCAGCAGAAGGAGAAGGTGGACTTCAAGGAGCTGTTTGCCCCTGTGGTGAAGCCGACGACGCTGCGAACCCTATTCGCGGGAGCCGCCATCAAAGGATGGGTAGTAAAGCAAATGGACATCGTAACGGCATTCCTTAACGGCATCCTTGAGGAGGAGATTTTTATGGCGCAGCCAGAGGGGTTTGATGATGGTAGTGGCAGAGTGTGGAAGCTGAAGAAGGCCCTCTATGGGCTGAAGCAGGCCCCTAGGCAATGGTACATGAAGCTGCGCGAAGTGTTGGAGGGGATCGGCTTCACTCCCTCAACGGCCGATCACTCCTTGTTCATGCTTGGCGAGGGGGAGCAGAGGAGCTTCATGGTGGTGTACGTGGACGACATCCTGATCTTCTCACCCTCTCCTGACCTTGTGAAGGAGGTGATGCTGAAGCTGCAAGACAAGTTCAAGTGCAAGTCCCTTGGTGACGTGAACTTCTACCTTGGGCTCCACATCGAACGAGACGTGGAGAAGCGGAGCATGCGAGTGCACCAACGGAAGTACCTGGAGGCGTTGGCTGCCAACTTCGGCCAGAGTGAAGGTCATGTGGCTACTCCCTTTCCCCCTGGGTTCAAGTGTGTGAAGGGGCCAGAGGAGGAGAGCGTTGGAGAAGAGGAGAGGCGCCGATTTCACTCGTTGGTGGGCAGCCTCATGTATGCGGCGGTAAACACCCGACCGGACGTCGCGTTTGCTACCGCGCAGCTGGCTAGGATTGTGCAATGCCCTAATGAGGAGCAGGTAGCAGCTGGAATGAGGGTGGCCAAGTATCTTGGCCAAACACCGACCGTTGGGCTGCAATACTCGGCGGCGGTACAAAGGCGCCAAAAGGGCGCGGATGGTGTTGAACCCGGGCGTTTGTTCCTCACCGCCTACTCGGATGCTTCATATGCATCAGAACCAGAGGACATGACAAGTGTGGGAGGCTTCATATGCTGTGTTGGTGGAGGCCCAACTGCTTGGGAGAGCGAGAAGCAGGTTGACCAAGCTTTGAGCTCGGTGGAGTCCGAGTACATGGCACTCTTCCGTGCCGTACGGGAGATTGTGTGGCAGCGGCGTTTGTTGGCTGAATTGGGGGAGGAGCAGCAAGAACCTACCCCACTGTACTGTGACAGCCAGGGTGCCATTGCTCTTGCTAAGAACCCTGTGTTGCATGGACTCACGAAGCACATGAGAGTGAAGTGGCATTGGACGAGGAGCATGGTAACCGCGGGTGAAGTTGAGTTGCGCTACGTGAAGACCACGGGGCAGCCGGCTGACATGATGACCAAGAGGCTGGTGGAGCAGCAGCATTGGAAGTGTTGCAAGCTGGCTGGGATGGCTCTGAACTGAGAGAGCAACATATTCTAAGGCCAACAATCCGAGGGGGAGTTTGTTGGTGCAACCCTACGGTTTGCACTCGGCTTGTTGTCCGTGTGCGTGAATGTGTGTGTGTATGGAATGGTATGAGGGCATGGGATAATATATATTTCATGCTTATAATTGTGTGTGAATGTTGAGTCATGATGTCGAGTGTGTGTGTCGAGTCAATAGCGAGTTATCGCTAGACGCGTGTTACGCGGTCGTTTGTGTCTCGCGCGCGGTTTCTATTTTGTCGTGCGCGGTTTCTATTTTGTCCTGTGTCGAACGTTCGGCGTGTCGCAGGTGTGTGCAGCAGACCCATCAAGAACTCAAGGATGAGTTTGTGATGAAGAGCCCGAGCCTTGGTGTCAAGCCTCAAGTGATTTCGAAGCTTGCCAAAAGGGTACACCTCAAGATATTGAAGATAGTTACATTACTTTGTGTAGTGTAACATTTCACTTGGTGTAGGCCCTAGTGAAGGGTAGTTTCGAGACCCTTCGTGGTTGGGGACAGTGTGGCACTGTTCCACATCACTGTACCTCGGCTCTTGGGGTTTGTAGGAGCTGGGAGTCATTCCCAACTCGTAACTCTTCCTATCTTGTGTTCTAAGACTATAGTGGCTGCCATAGTACCGTTCGTTCAAACCGACGCTGTGTCGTCAATTCTTTATCAAATCGTGCAATCTAAATTGCTAATTGTAGACGACGTGAAGACGCTCCAGATCCAATTTGAATCAAGTCATTTGCAGCTGTGAGCAGAACGCTATCAACGTTTGAAGCCGCTGTGCAGAAATCCGTCTGTGCACTCTATCTTTCGTTTTAGGCACATTGGAGCCTACTGTGACTATAACACCACCGACCACTGCCGCCGCTTCTGCCCCTCCTGCCCCACCGCCACGACCGCCCCACGCACCTCCTTCACCTCCAGAACCCGGTCGTCATGCATCTTCTTGAGAATCGCGCCGGCCTTGATATCCTCGATAGTGAGGTACCCGTCAAGCACGTTCACGAGGCCGAGGTCCTCGTACTGCTCGCCGTCGGACTCGTTGGTGGGCAGCTTGCGCACGCCCGCGCCCACGATGGCGTTGTTCACCACGTCACTGAAATCGAAATTCTCGAGGAACTCGTCTGCGTGATGACGAACGAAAAAAAGAGTTTCGAAAGGGAGGAGAAAGTGTATAATGAGTAAGGAGTACGACGATAACGTTGCGCGTCAAGTATACGAGGAAAAAATTGTTGGCACCGCAAAGTGCTGTCAGAACATTATAGCTTTTACATTTGTGTAGGCTATAGTGGGGTAGCCCATAAGAGGTACAACCCAATTAGGGTTAGTACTTGTACCCAACTCTTTGCTAGTTCATTCATTCTCGTTCGTAACTTTGAAATGGTTTCAGAGCAGGTCCCTTCCTAGGACCGTTTTTTTTTTTGGCCCACCACCTGCTGCCTTGCTAGCCTAGTCTCGCGCCCGTCGCCCCTAGGCCCCGGCCCGTCGCCATCCCTAGCCCGGCCCGTCGCCCCTTGGCGTCGCCCCTAGCCCGGCCCCTCGGTCGCCCTAGGCCCGTCGCAACCCGTCGGCCGCCCTAGGCCCGTCGCGACCCACGTCGCCCTAGGCCCGTCGCGACCCCCGTCGCCCTAGGCCCGTCGCGACCCTCGTCGTCAGTCGCCCCTCGCGGCCCCGTCGACCTAGGCCCCCGGCCCTCGCCCCGCGGCCCCTCGGCCCTCGCCCCTCGGCCCCTTAGCCCCTGGCCCCGCGGCCCCGTCGACCTAGATCCTGCGGCCCCGTCGACCTAGGCCCCCCGGCCCCCCGCGGCCCCGTCGACCTAGGCCCCCGGCCCCGTTGCCCCTGGCCCCGCGGCCCCGTCGACCTCGACTCCGCGGCCCCGTCGACCTAGGCCCCCGGCCCCCGCGGCCCCGTCGACCCAGGCCCCTCCTCTCCTGGCCCCGCGGCCCCGTCGACCTAGGCCCCCGGCCCCTCGGCCCCGTCACCCCTGGCCCCGCGGCCCCGACGCCCCTAGGCCCCAGGCCCTTCGGCCCCGTTTCCCCTGGCCCCGCGGCCCCGTCGACCTAGGCCTCCGGACCCTCGGCCCTGTCGCCCCTGGCCCCGCGGCCCCGACGCCCCTAGGCCCCAGGCCCCTCGGCCCCGTTTCCCCTGGCCCCGCGGCCCATTCGCCCCTAGGCCCCCGGCCCCTTGGCCCCTACTATTATGGCCCCGCGGCCCCGTCGACCTAGGCCCCCGGCCCCTCGGCCCCGTCGACCCTGGCCCCACGGCCCCGACGCCCCTAGGCCCCAGGCCCCTCGGCCCCGTATCCCCTGGCCCGCGGCCCCGTCGACCTAGGCCCCCGGCCCCTCCGCCCCGTCGCCCCTGGCCCTGCGGCCCCGACGCCCCTAGGCCCCAGGCCCCTCGGCCCCGTTTCCCCAGGCCCCGCGGCCCTGTCGACCTAGGCCCCCGGCCCCTCCGCCCCGTCGCCCCTGGCCCCGCGGCCCCGACGCCCCTAGGCCCCAGGCCCCTCAGCCCCGTTTCCCCTGGCCCCGCGGCCCATTCGCCCCTAGGCCCCCGGCCCCTTGGCCCCTACTATTCTGGCCCCGCGGCTTGTCGACCTAGGCCCCCGGCCCCGTTGCCCCTGGCCCCGCGGCCCCAACGCCCCTATTGCTACTACTGCTACTGCTGCAACTGCTGCTACTGCTGCTCCTGCGTGCAGCGCCACTATGGCTTCGCTTAGGGTTCTCACCTTCGATCATGAGGGCAGACCGGTTCAGTTTGACACATGGCTCGACGACCTGCAGCTGTACCTACTGAGCGATTCTAAGGACAGTGTTTCGCTGTTTGACCACAAGTCTGGCGCCGCTCCTGCCCCTCCCGCCACAGCCGACAGTGCGACTCGCTCACCGTGGCTTACTCGCGACGCTGCTGCCCGCTTGGCCATTCGCAACCACCTGCCGTTAGCCGAATGCGCCCACTTTGGACAGCACAAGACAGCCCAGGCACTGTACGCTGCTGTAGTCACCCGCTACTCCTCGCCTGCCACTGCTGCTCTAGGCCGCCTCCTTCTGCCCTACCTGTTCCCCGACCTGTCAGCCTTTGCCACAGTAGAGGACCTGGTTTCCCACCTGCGCACTAGCGACGCTCGCTACCGCGCTACCGTCCCTGCTGAGTTCCTTGACAGGAACCAGCCCCCGATGTTCATCACCCTCTACTTCATAGTCACTCGCCTCCCTGACTCTCTTCGCTCTGTCAGGGACCACTTTCTCTCCCTTGACCCCACCTCCCTCACTATTGACCTCACTATTGCTGTAGGTGCTGCTCGTGGCACTCCGCACCCGCCCTTCTTTGAGGGGTGCTCCCCCTCCCCACTTGCCCCCTCCTACGCCTCAGCTGCTACTGCAGACGTCTCTGTTGCTGAGGACCTTGGGGCTGCTTCTGCTAGTGCGAAGCGCCGCATCAGCAAGGGAAAGGGCGGCAGGGGTGGTGGAGGTGGCAGCGGTGGTGGTGGAGGTGGCATCGGGAGTGGTGGTGGGGGCGGTAGTGGAGGTAGCGGAGGCAGTGGAGGTGGTGGCGGTGGTGGGAATGGTGGCGGGAGTGGGGGCTCTAGTAGTGGCGGTGGAGGCAGCGGTGGGAGTGGCGGCAGTGGAGGCGGTGGGACTGGAGGTGGTAGGACTGGACCTCGGCATGGAGGCCCTGGTGGTGGCCAGCGACAGCAGCAGCAGCGTCGGAGCGAGACCCAGTCGCCCCAGCAGCTCCGTGAGTGGTTGTTTCAGCGTGGGACGTCTGGGGGTAGTGATAGCTGCCCGTATGTCATTCCCACGGGTGTTCGTATTGGTCAGACATGCGGGAAGCTTCACACTCAGCACCGCTGCTTCTCCCGCCTCGACGACACTTGGCGTGCTGAGTTTGGTGACGACGTCGAGCTCCCTCGCTGGGCAGATCTGCTTAGGTCTAGGATTGCTATCTTTGACCTAGACTTTGATGCTATTCTTTCTGCTATGTATGGTTTGTCTGTTAGTGCCGAGGGTGACTTTTACCGGTGGGTGCCGCCTGACCTTGGTATAGCTGCTGCTGCTCTAGGTGCTAGTGAGTCTGGTACTCTCCCTAGTACTGCGCCTGCTCAGGCCTTGCACACCTTCACGTTGGACCCAGGCGCCTCGCGCTGTTTCTTTCGTGACAGCACCACTCTCACTCCTCTCCCTGCACCTGTCCCGGTCAGATTGGCTGACCCCTCTGGGGGCCCGGTCGTTGCCCGTTCCTCCACTGTCCTCCCGTGTCCGGCGGTTCCTTCCGGCTCACTGTCAGGTCTTCACCTCCCCTCGTTCTCTACGAACGTGGTGAGTACCGCTGCCCTCCAGGATGCGATGGTCACTACCACCACTCTTGGGGGTCAGCGTGTGTCGATCTGCACGTGCACACGGACGGCGCGTCACCTGGCCACGTTCACTCGTCGGCCAGGGTCGAGTCTGTACACACTCGCTATCGAGCCTCCTCATGTAGGTGCGTCTGCTCAGGTGTCAGCGTCAGGTCAGGTAGCCGCCTCTTGCTCATGTCGCCTCCTGTCGCACCAAACTCTTCTGTGGCACCACCGCGTGGGCCACCCCTCCCTGCCACGCCTTCGTGGCATGCACTCTCGTCTTCTTGTCTCTGGTCTTCCCAAGTCTCTGCCTCCCCTGCCGCCCTCGCCTGCCCCGCCCTGCCTTCCTTGCGTCGAGGGGCGGCAGCGCGCCGCTCCTCACTCCTCCTCGTTTCCCCCGACGTCTGCCCCCCTGCAGACTCTCCACATGGACGTGTGGGGCCCAGCCCGCGTCAGTGGACAGAGCCGCGAGCGCTACTTTCTGCTGGTCGTTGACGACTACACGCGGTACACCACGGTCTTCCCTTTGCGCAGCAAGGGTCAGGTCGTTGATGTCTTGATCCCTTGGATCCGCACGGTCCGTCTCCAGCTCCGCGAGCGGTTCGGCCAGGACCTTCCTGTCCTGCGTCTGCACTCTGACAGAGGTGGTGAGTTCTCCTCCAACCTCTTGCGGGACTTTTGTCGTGGGGAGGGCATTCTCCACTCGTTCACGCTTCCGGACTCCCCTCAGCAAAATGGGATTGCTGAGCGCCGCATTGGCTTAGTCATGGAGGTCGCTCGTACCTCCATGATCCATGCGGCTGCTCCCCATTTTCTGTGGCTGTTAGCGGTCCGGTACGCTGCGCATCAGCTCAACATCTGGCCCCGTGTCTCCTTGCCGGAGACCTCGCCCACACTGCGTTGGACGGGGGAGGTTGGCGATACGTCAGTGTTCCGGGTCTGGGGTTTTCGTGCCTTTGTTCGCGATACGTCCGCGGACAAGCTCTCTGCCCGTGCTATCCCCTGTGTCTTCCTTGGCTTTGTCCCTAACGCGCCTGGTTGGCAGTTTTTCCACCCCACCTCGCACCGTGTCTTCCCTTCATAGGACATCACGTTAGACGAGTCGGTACCCTTATACCGTCTCTTCCCCTACCGCTCTGCCCCTCCCCCACCCTCGCCGCTCTTCCTTGCTCCCTGCGGTAGACCCCCTCCCACCCCAGGGTCCTGCTCCCTTAGGTGTGTCTCAGGTAGACCCTCTCCCTCGTCCTGCGCCTGTTGAGGTAGCTGTCGTCTCAGGTGCTGCTTGAGGTGCTGCGTATGGGGGGTGTTGTGTCTGGGGGTGCTGCATCTGGGGGTGCGGAGCCGGGGGGTGCGGAGTCTGAGGGTGCTGGGTCTGGGGGTGCTGAGCCTGGGTGTGTGGGGCCTGGGGGTGCTGAGCCTGCGGGTGTGGAGCCTGAGGGTGTTGAGCCTGGGGGTGCTGAGTCGGAGGGTGCGGAGTCTAGGGGTGCTGAGCCTCGGGGTGCTGCTTCGTCTGGAGGTCCTGCTGGTGCTTCGCTGCGACTGTCTCCGTAGCAGCTGCGTGAGTGGTTTGTTCAGCGCGCGCATCGTCGGAGTGGAGCTACCGGAGCTGGAGGTGCTGGAGTTACTGCTGGTTCTGGAGGTGCTCGTTCCAGGGGTACTGGAGCTGCCGGGACTGGTGGTGTTGAGGGCGATGGAGCTGGAGACCCTACGGAGCCTGGAGCTACTGGAGTTGGAGGAGCTGGAGCTGGAGGAGCTGGAGCTGCAGAAGCTGGAGCTGTTGACCATGGAGCTCGAGGTGCTGGAGACACTGTGCGGCCGCGACTTGACTTCGTTCCCCTGCTTCAGCAGGTTCTTGGTGTCCCGTCTTCTCCTAGCCTTACTCCTCCCCTCCTCTGTCCACCGCCTGACCAGTCACAGCTGCCGTTGCAGCCGACCTCTCCACTGCCTGCTCCCTCTCCTTACACTGAGTAGTCCGGCGGTCTTACCGAGCGGCGTGATCCTGCGTCTCGTCCTGTCTCGCCAATTCGCACTGCTCTTCGCGTTCCTCGTTCACATCCTTCTCCTGTCCCCGGCATGCACGCTATGGCACTTCGTCCTTTCTTTGTTCCACTGCGTGTTCCTCTGCCTGCTCCTCCTGAGTCCTCTCTTCCTGAGGTCCCTGACCCTGCGTCTGACCGCGCTCGTGCTGCCAGTCCCACTGTCCCTCGTCTCCTCGCCACTGCTGTCACTGACCCTTCCTTTGAGTCTGCTGCTACGTCTGCCTTCGTTGCTGAGCTGGTTGACTTAGCTGCTGCCTGTCGTCTCGACTATGCCACTGCTCTTGTTGCTGAGTCTGAGTCTACCAGTCCTCCGTCCGTCGGGGGTGAGTGTGCTCTTGGCACGGACGTCGTTGAGGACAGGCAGGAGGACTTTGAGTGTCTTGCAGCTGCTGTACCTCGTTTCGCTTCCATGCTGCTTGCCCCTGAGGGAGACCCGGATGCTCCAGACATCCCGACCCCGCGCTCTTACGCAGAGGCGATTACGGGTCCTTACTCCTCTCAGTGGCAGGCAGCCATGGATGCCGAGATGGCATCCTCGAAGTCCACAGGCACCTACGTCGACGAGGTTCCCCCACCTGGGGCGAACATAATCGTTTTCAAGTGGATTTTCAGGGTGAAGCGGCCGCCAGGTTCTCCGCCTGCCTTCAAGGCGTGTTACGTTGCTCGAGGTTTCAGTCAGCGACAGGGGGTTGACTACTTCCAGACCTTCTCCCCCACCCCAAAGATGACCACTCTTCGGGAGTTTCTGCACGTCGCTGCTCAGCGTGACTACGATTTGCACTCTCTGGACTTCAGCACAGCTTTCCTGCAGGGCAGCCTGCACGAGGAGATCTGGCTACGCCGCCCACCTGGCTTCACTAGGTCATTTCCTGCAGGTACCCAGTGGATCCTCCGGCGGCCAGTCTATGGTCTCCGCCAGGCGCCTCGCGAGTGGCACGACACACTTAGGACTACACTTGCGGCTCTTGGGTTTGCTCCTTCTACTGCTGACCCGTCGCTGTTTCTACGCACCGACACCTCGCTGCCGCCGTTCTACGTCCTAGTGTACGTCGATGACCTCGTCTTTGCCACTGCTGACACTGAGGCACTGACCCTTGTGATGTCGGAGCTGGAGAAGAGGCACACCTGCACTGACCTGGGTGAAGTGCGCAGCTATCTTGGCTTGCAGATCACCCGGGACAGAGCACGGCACACCAACACCCTGACTGAGTCACACATGGTGCACCAGGTCCTTCAGCGCTTTGGCTTCCAGTTCTCCTCGCCACATCCCACTCCTCTGTCTACCAGCCACTCGCTCTCAGCTCCACCTTCGGACGAGTCCATAGAGCCGAGTGGTCCGTACCCAGAGCTTGTGGGTTGCCTCATGTACCTGATGACGTGCACACGACCTGACCTCGCGTACCCTCTCAACCTTCTGGCTTGCTACGTGGCTCCCGGTAGGCACCAAAGGGTGCACTGGGATGCTGCGAAGAGGGTATTGCGCCACTTGTGCAGTACGTCAGGCATGGGGCTAGTGCTTGGAGGACGGGGTCCAGTTGTCCTCACCTGTCACGCAAACGCTTCCTGGGTTGACGACTCAGCTACGCAGCGGTCGTCACAGGGTTATTCCTTGAGCCTCGGTTCCGGCTCTGTTTCCTTGCGGTCTACCCGCTTGTCTTCGGTTCTCAGCTTCAGTTGTGAGGCTGAGATCTACGCCGAGGCCATGGCTGCACAGGAGCTACGCTGGCTCACCTACCTGCTGACTGACTTGGGAGAGCAGCCTCGTTCGCCTCCAGTTCTGTACGTAGACAACAAGGTCATGATTGCCTTGTGTCAGTAGCACAGACTGGAGCACAGAACGAAGCACATCGCTCTCCAATACTTCCTTGCTCGAGAGTTGCAGCAGCGTGGCCAGCTTCATCTTGCGTACGTGGCCACTAGGGCCAACACTGCTGATATATTCACCAAGGCACTTCCGCCTGGTGATCATCAGCGCTTCTCCACTGTGTTAGGCCTTGTGCCTACATTGCCTCACTTGCATACTGCTTGACTCTGCTTGTACTGTGATCTATATATATACCTGCATGCTTGCACTTGCTAGGATATGATCACTTTATTGTTTGTTCTCTTTATATCACTGTGCATGTGAACTGGCCTTGTGGCCCTTTGCTTGTGCTCGGACTGCGTAGTGACTTTGTGATCCACCCTGAGCTTGCTTTGCTTTTCTTGACTAGTCTTGTGACCATTTGTTCTCCCCCACTTTGCCTATGGGGGTGTGTGAGAACATTATAGCTTTTACATTTGTGTAGGCTATAGTGGGGTAGCCCATTAGGGGTACAACCCAATTAGGGTTAGTACTTGTACCCTATTCTTTGCTAGTTCATTCATTCTCGTTCGTAACTTTGACAAGCGCGCGCGTGTGTGCACGAGGGGAATCGCCTCACCTTGGCGGGTCAGCAGCACTGAGACAACGCGGCAAATGAGCGCGTACTTGGGGCGCAGCCTAAGCGCGCGCTTGAGCGCCTGCAGCTAAGCCTTGGGGGGACTGGCTACCTGCGCCGCCGCCAGGGCCGCCGCGGCCAGCAGCAGCACGAGCACCGGCAGTGCGACGGACGATTTACCCGTAGCCATTGTACACGTTTTATGGCGGTTCGATACTAGCAGAGGGGAATGCTGGCTGAAACGAATGGAAGAGAATGTGGATGATTTCTCGTAGAGTGAGTTGTGAGGGTTGTCAGGGATGGATCCAGTGAGGGGGAAAGGCGAAGGCGGAGCTGATGAAGTATGGTCTGGCCATGGCTGCCTTTTATAGCAGGGTACTATCCCACGTGGGTGGGCAGCCTCGGAGAGGGCACCCCCGGGTGGTGGATCGGTGCGAGCTGGCAGTGTCGCTAGTGAAGATGCTCTTCAAATTGCCTTTTCACTGCCCACCGTACGTGAGTGTGTGTGTGGCGAGGTGTTTTGCTGGGTGTGAGCTTGGGACAATGTGTGGCAATGTGATGCAATGCGAGGCATTGTGAGGCATTTTGAGACATTATGAGGCATTGTGAGGCATTGTGTGGCATTGTGATGCATTGTGAGGCATTCTGAGGCATTCTGAGGCGTTGTCTGGCATTGTGAGGCATTGTGAGGCATTGTGAGGCACTGTGAGGCATTGTGAGGCATTGTGAGGCATTGTGAGGCATTGTGAAGCATTTTGAGACATTTTGAGGCATTGTGAGGCATTGTGAGGCATTGTGAGGTAGTGTGACGGGGGCTGGTTGGTTGGTTGGCATGCCAAACCAAAACGCGAATCTCAGTTCTCTTTGTATCAGTTAGTCAATAGCTTGAAGTTAGAGACGGTCATACCAGGGCCTTGCGCGACATTTTCTTTTCTCCTCCTGTGCAATATCCCTATGTGCATGACTCTCCTCTTCAGTCTATCGCCCTTCACAGCGGGGGCGTTTGAAGCGCATGTGAACCAGCAGGCACGCCACTTGTCGATGCGCGTGTCTCAAATCTACGACAAGGGCTTCCCAGAGACGGTGCTCAAAACAGTGGAGGGCATTGTGTTGGAGGAGGGCAGCAGGATGCCAGGCACCAAGAGATGCTACCATCTCCGGGTATGCTTTTGTGCCTATGAGTTGACCCAAAAGCCTTCCATGGGTACACGTTTGTTCTTAAGACCGATTTGGCTTGTTAAAAGGCCGTGAGCTTACAGGATGCATGGAGGTGAATATCAGTCAAGGTGTATCCTAGTCAGTTAGCACATCGGCATGGCTCACGCAGTACTTGCTTTGAATTGAACGCACGACTTGTGGTACAATGAATGAAGGCTAGAGGGTCCAGCGTTCTGCATTTATACAGACTGACTGTCAAAGTCTAAGCTTACTTTATCGACCTGCGACTGTACTCATTGTACCCTTCATCATACACACTACCACTGCATACTGCATGCATAAAGAATGTCTCCCATACTTCCATTCTCTCAGCGCCTCCTTTTCTATCCTCCACGGATTACAACACACACCAACACTGGCAAAACATACAAGCTAATTTGTGTGCCTTACCTAGACGGTGCAGGAATCTCTCCAGCACATCCAAACGTTCACCCCGTGGCCACCTCTTCACCTGACCAACCACCACGTTCCAATAGGTTGTCTCTCCCTTTGTCTATTTTACCCCCTTCACCAAAACTTGCTCGCAATGGGCCAAGTGCAACTCGACGCGCTATGCAGTCATTGACGTCGCCCGTCCCACCAAGGCAATGGATCTCCGCGTTCTTCCGCAAGGATCCCGCTTGACGTGCGTGTTTGTGAGGGGTTGGGAGGGGCTGCGTGTTACCCAGATCTCTCTGTCTCCCTTTGCAAGCAGCCCCCCTCATCTGCTCAATTGATATGCACGTGATGGGTGGGGAGCAAAGGGGTGAGAGTGTGAAGTAAAGGGGGCAAAGGCTGAGGCAAGCTTTGCTGATTTTTTGTGTATGTGAGGGGAGAGGGGTCGTATATGTGAGGGACATGTGGCGTGCTCTGCTGATTTGGTGTGTATGCCCTTGTGCTGGCTATGATGTCAACCTCTTTCATGCATATCGTCTCCTCGCTTGTCATGCTCGTGTTTTTCGCCCCCTCTTACACCCACATGGCAGTCCCCATGGCAATCAGGTCAGGTTGAGTGCTCCAAATCTCACACCTCCTGAGCCACTTGCACATGCCTATGTGGGATCTGTTTCTCACCTTCTTCTCTTCCATATACCAAGCACCCCTGAACCCCCACCCCCCCTCCCCCCTCTCCCCTCCTCACCAGGACGCCATTCAGGCTGCCTTTGAGCGCATTGCATCGATGACTCTCATTGACAGCGCCTCAGGGTGGCTGCTGCACTGGCCGTGCACCACAGACCTCGACCTGGATACCACCCTCGTAACACCCCCTAATCAGGCACCACCACTTGTGCCACCACCAACGGCATCACCACCAGCTGCATCACCAGCAGCAGCTTGTCGTTTTGTTCTAATGGGAGTGTGGCACATCAGGTCATGGGTGATTGCAGGCGACCGCCTCACATGGAAGCTCAATGAGATGAATGTGGTCATGCTGTACCAGCCCGAAGGCTTTGTCACCAGCATCAGTGTCTTCTTGACTTCTTGGGGGGGGATGATGAAGGTATGACCTCCCAGGTTGCTTTATTATTGTTCTTAAGTCCAGTTTTTTGTTTCCTTCCATTTTTTTTTGTTTTGCTTAGTTCTCAAGATGCACTTACTCATTGACGGCGTTTTTTTTTTTCGAATTTGATTTTTTCAAAGCTTCTCCCTCGTAACATAATGTGAGAATTCCAGTATCATCATGCGGTTTGCCAACGGTGCATCTGTGCCCCTCATATGCCGCTCTTGTGGTGATTCTCCTGTGCTTCTCGTTTAGTTCACCCATTTGCAAGCCAACCTGTTGTAACACTGTATTGTATTCTGCTTGTTTGTTCCTTCCCAAACCCCCTCCCCATTCTGCAATGTCCCCCACTCCCTTTCCCGCTCCATCACTTCACTTTGTTTGTGCTTGCTCATGCCATTCCCCCAATCACTGCTCCGTGCATCCCTTCTTGTTGGAACCATTTCATCTGATACAGTGTTATGAGAAGCCGGAGCCCGGCTTGACTTGTCAAAGTACAATCTTACTTGTAGGCTATAGTGGGGCACTCTTTATGGGGTACAGCACTTCTAGGGTTAGTACTTGTACCCCAACTCTTGCTAATCCAATCATTCCTGCACAGTTGATTCTGACATGACTGCCTCGCTGCTGCCGGACAATTCAACACCATCCGCCTACTCTGCTGCAGCTTGCTTTGACTCCACCTTGCAGCAGGCACCACCACACTGGACCCCAGAGAGCATTTTATCTAAATGTCCTGCCCTCATAGACTGGCTGCTACAGCGCCTTCCTTAGAGCAAGGCCCATACACCGTAATCTCCTAGATGAAAGTATTTCATCAGAAAATCTGAGTAGTTTTTTTTTAGTTACGGTATTAAATAAAACCAAACAGGTCCCTTGTTTTCGTGAATATGTAGGAAGTCCCTTCCTTGGACAGAACAAAATCATTTAAGTGCTAGTCCGAACATAAAAGATTGTGATATAACTCCTTGGATAGAGTTCCCTAGTTTGTTTTGCCCTTACAAGAGTTGGGGCGCTTGGTCGTAATCATGACCTGGGAAAAGTGGTAATGAGGCATGTGGGGGAGGGGGCGGCGCAGGTTCAGAGCTCGCTCTCGAGCAGGTCGTGCAGCACATGGGGCGCGGGCTGTGTGATGTTGTTGAGCGCCACATAGAAGTCCATGGCGTATATGCTCTTCACCGCTTCGTATGTGTCCTGCACCGTGATAGCATGACAGCATGGAAGCATGTCAGCATCGCATCATGGCATCATGGAAGCATGGCAGCACGGCAGCATCGCATCATGGCAGCATGGCACAATGGACGCATGGAATTATGGCATCATTGGAGCATGGCATCACGGCAGCATGGCATAATGGCAGTATGGCAGCATGGAAGCATGGCGGCATGGCAGCATCGCAGCATCACACCATGGCATCATGGCAGCATTGCAGCGTGCACCGGCAATGGCAAGCGAGGGAGAGGTTTGCGGCCAGCACATAGCCATGCCTCACCTTGTCATACAGCCGTGCCTCACCTTGTCACACAGCCGTGCCTCACCTTGTCACACAGCCGTGCCTCACCTTGTCACACAGCCGTGCCTCACCTTGTCATACAGCCGTGCAAGGCTGGCGTCAGCGTCTGCACCTTTCCCTGTGCCGTCCTCCTCAAAGATCTCCATGTGCGCCCCCTGCCCCCCACCGCCCACGCGGTCCACGACAGCACGGGCGTCGTCCATGAGGCTCTCCACGCGGCCCACCACGTCGTACTTGATGGCCGACAGTGCACACACGTCCACCTGCCACCCGCCCCACCATACACAGCAAGCACGGGTGCTCAAACACATGCGTCAAACACGACACCATTAGCTCCACTCCACCTTCCCGTCACACTTGGTCACCATCACCAGAATTCTCATCGGTTCATACAAGCAGCATGAATTAATGCTTTAAAACTGGCATACACACTCATTCTAAAGTATTTTTCCTGTAAATGACCAACTGTTCCATGTTTCCAAAGCACTCAACTACATGCCCACCTGCCTTGACAGCCTCACCACCTCAACCACTTGTGACTCGCATCCCAGTATCGCTCGCCTATCCCAACGCCTGTGCCGAACCGTTTGTATTCTCCTCCGGCACAGCATTCCCACCTGAGCGATAACAACCCCACCTGGGGCAACCCCATGTTTGTATTCTCCTGCGGCGCAACAAGCCCACTGAGGCGCAGCACCCCACCTGAGGCGCGATGCGGGAGTCCATGAGGGGGCGGCTGTGGTCCATGAGGCGCCCCACGAGGCGCACGAAGGACGGGAAGGACAGCTGCCCCTCGCCCTCCCGCACCACCGCCTCCACTATGGGCCGCACCGCCCGGAACAACGCCTGCTCACGCACACACGCACGCGCGGAGGGGTGGTGAGATGGAGCGGGTTGAAGAGAAGTTTGCAGAGAGAGGGTGAGAGGAGAAGCTTGCAGGAAAGCAGAGAAGAATGTGCTTGCCTTTACTTGAATCTCCCCCTCTCGCACCCCACGGCCCCAGCACCACAACCACATCCCCACATCCCGCTCCCCACATCCCACACGCCGCATGCATGCACCTATGGCTGACATTGCCCTGCCTCACATTGCCCTGCCTCACAATGCCCTGCCTCACATTGCACCCCTTCCTCACAATGCCTCTGGTTGACATCCCCCCCCTCACATTGCCCCTCCCTCACATTGCTCCAGTGATCGCGCGAGGTGGGCGCGTGGGAGTGGTGGGAGGCGAGCACGGTGGAGCGGAAGGTGGAGGCGAGGCGCGAGAAGGGGTTGCGCACAAACGTGAAGCGCAGCAGGTCGGGCCGCGTGATGATGCGCACCTGGTGGGGGCCGAGGGGGACACGGCAGGTGGCAAGGGGGGTAGTTGTGGGGAAATCTGGAACAGTAGCGGTAGCTTGTGGATGAAGATATTCGCGCAAGTACAGCGCTGGGAAGTGGTGAGGGACACAGTTAGGCACAACACGTGCGGGGGGGGCAGCGTAGTGGAAATGGATGGGAACGAGAGAGGCTTGGGGGGGTGAGGCAAGGAGCGGGTGGGGAAGGGATGGGAGGGCGGGCGGGCGCACGGCTTGCGGCTCGGTGAAGTGCAGCGCGAGCTCGTGCAGCCCGCCATCGCGGTCGTCCACAGCCACGCGCCCCTCGCGCGGTGCCGGCAGCCCCAGGCGCGCACGCAGCCACGTGAGCCAGGCAGTGGACGCCACACTGGGCACCCCGCAGTACATCACACCCAGCCGCTCTGTGCGGCGCAGGGGGGTGGGGCACACACGAGGCAGGCAGGGGCAGTGGGCAGAAGACGAGGCAGGCAGCAGTATGAGAGAGCATGGTGCACGCGGTAGAGCATGGTGCACGCGGTGCAGCATGGCATGGTGGCAGCACGGGAGGTCGAGAAAAGGCAGCAGGATGGCGACATCATCGAATGGTCACATGGCAAGGGGATTGGTGGCATGGCAAGGGGAGTGCACCTGTTGCAGAAATGGAAGGGAGGCGGTCGGCCACGAGGGTGGGGAGTGGCAGAGTGAGGGCTAGCGGAGATGACGGAAGGAGTACAAGAGTAGAGTGTTTAGTAATAGCATGCGGGTAATCAAAAGCAAAGAATCTCCTTTCCTCCTTGGTCACCCACCTTCCACGATGGTGTATTTAGCGAACTTGAGGTGCGTGATGGGGCGCAGCGGTGGCGAGTCACACACGGCTCGCTGCACACGGAACAGCTCGCTGGCAGCACTGCCGTGCGCCGCGATGAAGCGCGCCTCCGCCGACGACGAGTTCACCGCGATGAGCCCCCGCGTGCGACTCAACGCATACAGCTCCGCCACCTGCCCTCACGGGACAACGACCAGGAGGAACGGATGACGGGACGGGAGGAGAGGGATGCTCAGTGGATGGATAGGGGACTTTTGGGAGCGTGAGAGATTGGCATCCGTGATTCCAGCACAATAGTGCCTGGTTCGGCCTCGCGCTGTGCGCCTCAGAGTGCATGGCATGGAAACCGGGGACACTCTTGTCCTCACAACCCAAGCGGCGCTGACATGTCCGAGTGGAACAATCGGAATTGGAGTGCACGAGCAGATCCTTAGAGAATTACGCCTACAGTGCACTCGGATTTGAAGGATACGAAATAATCTGTTCTGTACTCCTACTCGAGCAACCCCCCCATGCACACTTGTACCCGTGCATGCAGGCACAGCAGCAGCTGCTCCGGTGTGATGCGGTTGTTGAAAGGCAGCAGCACAGCCACCTCCTCCCCACCTCCACTGCCGCCCTCATCGCCTGCTCCTCCGCCACCCCCTGCCACGGCGCCTGCCTGCAGTGCCTGCAGGGCGGCAGCACTGGTTCCCGGCAGCAAGTTCCGCGGGCCGGGGGCAGCGGTGACGTGCTCCCCGAAGGGGCAGGTGGCGGCGCGCAGCAGCGTGGCGTGCAGCAGGGTGGGCGCGCGGTGCGGGTGGAAGAAGTCGGCGACGGCAGCGGTGTGGTGGGGGTTGGAGGCGGCGAGAGTGAAGCCCTTAGAGGGGTCCTTGAGGAAGCTCATGGTCACGCGCCTCATCACACACTCCACTGCTGTAGACCCCTTGCTGCTCGCACACCCGCTGCACCCCGCTGCTGCCAGCGTCTGAGCGGGACAAGAGAGCAAGAGAGGCAGGGAGGGGCGGATGGCAGGATGTGTGGTTAGATGGATGACAACGAGTCCCTGACTCTCACTGCCCCCACCCCACCCACTCCCACTCACTCGCCTTCTACTCTCCCCACCTCCTGCCCCCTCCCCTCGTTGAGCTGTGCGCTCCCCATTTCTCTCCATCCTCCTGCCCGCTCCCTCCTCCTCCCCCCCCCCACTCACATCCACGAAGACGCCATACGAGGCGTGCAGGCGCGTGGCGTTCTCCTTTTGCAGCAGCTGCTGCACGGGCGGCGAAGGGTGCAGTGCTGCCATGCACGCCCCCATGGCGCGCTCAAACGCACACGCGTCCGGCAGCGACTGGCGGGCAAGGGGCACGGCGAGAGGGGCACAGGAATGGTGTGGAGACATGGAACATTTTGAGGGTTTAGGGAGACAGCAGGAGGGCAGACAGCAGGAGGGCAGTGCGTGATCAAAGGCAGAGGAGGATGCAGGTGCGCATGGGAGGCAGGTGTGCATGGGAGCGGAGTGGGCAGCGAGGTAGGTAGGAGGGAGCGGGGCTCACGAGGCCGAGCCAGTTGACGGCGTCCGGCGAGAGGAAGAGGTGCACCGCCGTGCTGCCCCCCCCGCCGCCCCCTCTGCTGCCCGCCGCCCCCCCGCCCTGCGCGTCCGCCGTTGAGCCCTGCGGACACGCGGGTACCACCACCTGCCGCCATGGGAAAGGGGGGGGAGTGGGGGGTGGGGGTTTGAGAGGAACTGGAGATAGGGGGGGTAAGAGAGAAAGGGAGTGGCAAGCACGAGGGAAATATGAGAGGTGAGCGCGAAGAGAGGGGCGAGGTGACGTGGACAAGGCTGGCCGGTGGGACGGGAGGCATGCACGCACGCATGGGGGAGGGGTAAGTGACTGTGGGGCGAGGAGGGGTGGGTGAGGGGCGAGGAGGGGGGTGTGAGGGGCGAGGAGGGGGGTGTGAAAGGGGAGAGGGGTGGCAGCAAGGAGGTGTACCGTGCGCCTGGCAAGGTTGAGCCCGCTCCTCCACGCCGCAGCGGGCAGCGCTGACTCACGCACCCACACACGCCGCTCCGGCCCGCCCACGAACGCACTCTCCCCGCTCCCCCTGCCCCCCCCGCCGCCCCCCCCCGCCGTGGCGTTGGGGGCGGGCGTGGCAGGGCTGTCGGCAGAGGAGGAGGCGGGCGCGGGCGGCGTGAGGGAGAAGAGGTGGGAGAAGCGGACGTGCGGCATGTGGCGGTCGGCCGGCCACACGGCGAGCGTGAGCAGCGAGCTCAGCGCCGTCATGGCGGACGCCGCGCACACCGCGTGCACCCTCTCGCCCAGCTCGCCCTGCCAGACGCGCGGCGCATGGGCATGGGGGGCGGTGGTGGGACGAGAATGAGCGAGGAGAACGATTGAGTGAGTGAGTGACACACAAGAGTGGAATGCGGGAGAGAATGGGGCGGGACAGAGTGGATTGGGCGCGCGGAAGGTGTGCGTATATATGGGGGGAGAAGGATGGCGGTGAGGGATGGGAAATGAGATGGAGCTGAAACGCACATCCGCAACGACTACAGCGTCCACGCGCTCGCAACCGTTAGATCTCGTCCCTGGAGCGCATCCACGGCTCATCTTCGTCTCCAACGTCCACAGATCATCTGGGCCGCCATCATCCAGCTCATCAAATATCATGCCGCGTGGTCGCAAGCCCGCATCGTCGTCCTCGTCATAGTCGGTCGCGATATCCAGCGCAACCAGCGCGAGCGCCATCAGCACCCCCGCGGCCAAGACTCGCCTCCAGCCGCACGGCGTGCATCGGAGCGCCGCCATGCGCCGGCCCATGGTGGAACGGACGGTTACTGCGAACAATTTGAAGAATACGGGTTTCGTCGTAAAGTCCGGCGGCTAGCGCGGCACGGAGCATGGTCGAAGCGATGGTGGATGGCGACAAAGCATGGTGGTGAAACAGATGCTACGAGCGCCGCGCTCGTGTCGTGCTGCGACACCCTCGATTCGAAGGCGAGCTGCTTCGCTTGAGACCTATTTGATTCGAAAAGAGCGTGGCTTGCGATGCTCGTCCACGTTCCGCTCTTTCCGAGGCACCTAAGCCAGGGGCAGCCGAGCTTGGCGAAGAGACGCGAGGTCTGGGAGAAAGGCAAAAGGGCGCAGAGTATGTGAGGATCAACAAACGAAGTGTGAAAAGTGTGTGGCAGTCTAGCAGATTGTGTGAATGTTGTGGCGGACGCGGTGAAAGTGGAGAATCGATCGCCTCAGGTTCGTATTTTCGCGCGGTTGTAAACATTTGTGTACCTTTATAATGCAAGAAGCGGGGTTTAAGTGCGGTGACCGGTTCGATATCCTCCCGATCGAGCACTTATACCGCGTCCAAACGAACGGGGACAAATGTGAGTGACCTGACCAGAGGCCGTGAGATTCGGGTGTCAGTGATGCGAGAGATTTGCTCCAAACCCGTGTTTGGAGATTGGGTGTTACACACGTGGCCTCCATTTGCTAGCGTGGTTCTACATTTAACCGATAATTTCTCAAAGGTTCATATGCGCTCAAAGGTTCAAACAGTAGAACACGGGCGAATGCGCGACCGTTTCCGCGTGCTCGCGGAAACGAGCTGCCCGCGGGAAAAAAAACTAAAACCCACTCGGAAAGCATGCGGTTCGGGAAGCATCAACCCTAAAACTTTAGGGTTGATGCCTCTCGAATGGCATGCAGCCCGATAGGGGTTTATTGTTTTGCCCCGGGCAGCTCGCTTCCACAAGCTCGCGCGTCTGGTGGGTTCGAAACCCACCAGATGAGGCATCTGGTGGATTCGAACCCGCCAGGGCTTGGATGGACTTGAGTGGTCTTGCCAGGGGATTCCCGCAGCCTTTTTTTTATCCGGCACATTACCCGCTAAAGGTATTTATCCCCCAGTTTTTTGTTCGCACATGTCTCATCCCGTCGAATGAGTCAACATTTTGAACGTGGGGAAAAAAAAAAAAAAAAACCACCCGGAAGCATGCCATGCGGGAGGCATCAACCCTAAAATTTTAGGGTTGATGCCTCCCGAATGGCATGCCGTTTGTGATGGGCAGTGACGCCTCGCACTTCGCCAGCCAGGCATGGAGCGATCTACTTGTGTCGTATGGCAGCAGCATGTGGTTCTTGACCGAGGTGAGGACACCCATCTCAGCTAACGGTAGCGTTCGCACTAGGAGGCATGCCTGAGTGAAACTTGCAACGAAGCCGAAAATGCCTTCTACATTGGGGTCTGTGAGTCCTATCCCGCCAAGCAATGGCAGGAGTGAGGCTTGGTTCCACACGCGTTGCTGCTCGGAGTTACTCGTTGGGACACAAATACCGCAGGATGCAAGTAGCGTAGCCAGCGATTTGTCTCCCGTTGAGACTACGTCTCGCGCGGCAGAAGGTTTATTGGCGTCGTTCTAGTGAGGTAGGCCACTCGACGGGAGATGCAGTGGGTAAGAAGTAGTGAGGCCATCAGAAAGTTTGTGAGGGAGCCCCGAACAGGCCTCAGGCAAATCGAGTTTTCAGGAGCACCGGGGGGTGCTCTGGAAATGATTGTGTATGGTGGGTGTTCACCTGTGCGGCTGGGTTGGGGTGTTTAGGTGGGGGGGTGGCCGAAACTCGTGTGTAACGGCACGGAGTTGGGTGGCCTGGGGGTGGGTGGATCGTCCGGTTCAGGGACGTGGCTGTATACGAACGTTTTGCGTACGTGGACGGGTTTTTTCAGCTTGAAGCTCTGTTTCACTGGACTTCGGTTGCCACGTCACCTGCTCGTTTAGGTTTCCGTCGAGTATATCTAGGTGTGTTGTGTTACATTCTTCTAATGCAGTGTTTTTTTACTGTACACATTGTAGTTGGATAAGGATCACATGTGATACACTATTTTTAGGGGATTATGGATTCATGTTTTGGTGTATGTTAGAATACGGTTGTTTTGAATTCTACGATTAAATACTATGCAGGTGAGTTTACATTGACAAGGTGACCGGTACATTTATTGTTGTTCATGAGTTTCCTAAGGTAAATAATTTTGTAGATGTTTTGTGTTAATGATTTAGCATGTGGAGTGAGCTTTTCTTAGGGCTGTTGTATATATTTTAGAAGCTTATTCCACCCTGAGGGGGATTTACTAGTCATTACATTATGTATGGTTCTCTGTAAAAGCATATGTGTTTAGACTGTTTTGTGTAAAAGGTTATGTTTACGATTTAGACTTAGTTTATGTGGCTTGTAGTATTTAATTAAACGAAATCGAACTCACTGTTGTTCCCGCCGAGTCAAACCACAACCCATCGGTCAACGCGCCGAGAAGGCATCGCGCGGCTCGAATGGGTTTCGCGTCGTGTGCATTTTGCCTCGTGTCGCTTTCGAATGTGTGCTGAAATTCACATCGACATTCGCCTCATCCAATTTGTTTGGCCGCGCTCCGCAAGATGATGGAACCGTTCCAAAGTACTGAGCACCCCTCACAAACGAAGTGCACCATGAGTTCGAAGCTGTATGCGCTTCGACGCTAGGACTTGTAATTAGATTACGTGTGGTTGGAAAAGGTTTTGGAAAGATTATGAGCGGTCACGGCTAATCTCGCAACGGTTTGTCTGGGTTTATTTTAGAATATATGTATATGTGGACCTGTTATTTGTGCCTACTCCCGTTGACATGTTCGAGGTCTACTGGTAGTACAACATGTCAAACTTATATATGCTATAGTCTGTTTAGGCTGTAGTGGGGTAGCTCTTATAGGGTACAACACTTTTAGGTTTCCTACTTGTACCCACCTGCTTCCTAGTTCATTCATTCCTCATGATTCTCACATGGTATAGAGCGGGTTCCCTAGTGGGACCGTTTCTTCCTAAGGGCCCACCATTTAAAATTTCTTTCCTAACCTGCCCGAAGCGCGCTTCGCGCTCTGCCGTGCCCTACCCTTTCGCGGCCCCTTAGCGGCCTGCCCTGCTCCTGCGGCCCCTTCGCGGCCCCTACGCGGCCCCTTTGCGGCCTGCTCGCGGCCCCTTAGCGGCCCCTTCACGGCCCCTTCGCGGCCCCTACGCGGCCCCTTCGCGGCCTGCTCGCGGCCCCTTAGCGGCCCCTTCGCGGCCCCTTAGCGCCCCCCCCCCCTCGCGGCCCCTTAGCGCCCCCTTCGCGGCCCCTTAGCGGCCCCTTCGTGGCCCCTTAGCGGCCCCTTCGTGGCCCCTTCGCGGCCCCGCCTCGTCGCGACGCCCGTGCGGGACCCGCGAGGCACAGCTCCTACGCGTCGCGATGCCCCAACGGGACCCGGGCATCGCCCTCGCTCGTCGCGACACCCCTTCGGGACCCACGTGGCGTCGCCCTGCCCTACCCCACGCCCGACCTTCAGACGGCCGCCCTTCCCCCCCCCCCCCCCCCCCGCCCTGCAGCAGCTGCCGTCGCGGCCCTGCCCCGCCCTGCAGCAGCTGCCGTCGCGGCCCTGCCCCGCCCTGCAGCAGCTGCCGTCGCGGCCCTGCCCCGCCCTGCAGCAGCTGCCGTCGCTGCCCTGCCCCACCCTGCAGCAGCTGCCGTCGCGGCCCTGCCACGCCTTGCAGTAGTTGCCGCGGAGATCCCTGCCGCGGTCGAGGCCCCGCCCTTCAGCAGCTGCCGCGGAGCCCTCGCCCTGCAGTGGTAGCGACCCTGCCGTTGCCGTCGTCGTACGCCCGCCCTTCTCGCCACTGGTGAGCACTGCCCTGCCCGCGCTACTATTGCTGCTACTGCTGTTCCTGCTGCTCCTACTGCTACTGTTCTTTCTACTGCTACTGCTGCTCCTGGCGTGGCCAGATGCAGCTCCAGCGCCATCCGCGTGAGTCCCTCACGCCCCAGCAGCTTCGTGAGTAGCACGCTAGTTGGGGTTGTAGGGGTGGCCGCGCTACTAGTACTGCTACTGCTGCTACTGCTACTACTGCGGCTGCTACTGCTACTGCTGCTCGTGGCGGTGGCCGGATGCAGCTGCAACGTCGTCCGCGCGACTCCCTCCCGCCCCAGCAGCTTCGTGAGTGGTACGCGAGTTGGGGTTGTCGGGGCCGTGGTGGGAGTCGCCCTGGAGTGGGTAGTTCGGGAGCTTCTGGTAGTGGCCAGGTGCAGCTGTAGCGTCGTCCCCGCGAGGCTCTTTCGCCCCAGCAGCTTCGTGAGTGGTACGCTCAGAGTAGAGGGTCACTGAGTACTGCTAGCTGCCCGTACTTCATTCGTACGGGTGTCCGGACTGGTCAGCCCTGCGGGACACCAGGTCACACAGAGTCCCACTGCTTCGACCGTCTGAGTGACGCTTGGCGTACAGAGTTTGGCGACGACGCTGAGCTCCCCTCCTGGCTGGAGCTGCTTCGGCAGAGGGTAGATATCTTTGCTCTTGACTATGATGCTATCCTCACTGCCATGTATGCATTGTCTACTAGTGCTGAGGGTGCCTGTCCCCTGTGTGTGCCGCCTGAACCCGGTATCCAGTCTACTGCTCTACGTGCTGGTGAGGCTGCTGCTCTAGGTGCTCGTACGTCTCCTGCTCCAGGTGTTGGTGAGGCTGCTGCTCTAGGCGCTGGTGAGTCTCCTGCTCCAGGTGCTAGTGAGTCTGCTCTCTCTGGTACTGCACCTACTGAGGTCTTGCACACTTTCACACTTGACTCTGGTGCTTCGCGCTCTTTCTTTAGAGACAGCACCACACTCACGCCGCTCAGTCGGCCTGTTGCAGTCTCCCTTGCTGATCCCTCTGGGGGCCCAGTCCTTGCACACTCTTCCACGGTTCTACCGTGTCCTGCGGCCCCGTCGGGCTTGCTGTCGGGACTCCACCTCCCCTCGTTCTCTACGAAATTGCT